ACCCTTGTCACCCCAGCTCCTAATCTGTCACTGAGCAGCCTGAAATCCTGATGGAAGACTTCCCCCCCCCCAACCCCGAATGCTTTTCACTCTTGATTTTTGCTCCATTTTTTCTTGTCCCTGTGAAATTTAATCATGTTTTCTAGCCCTTTAGGCCTCACAGAGTCCAGCAGCTGCATTCTCATCTGGCTTGAAAGCTTACCCGCATACTTCTCAACCCCAAACAGGGATCGGTCCTCAGAGCCTTGCTGATGAAACACAATAAACCAGACCCTAGAAAGGGCTCGTGCAGCCCTTCACGCTATCCAGGAGGGAGATGGCTTGTGATAAAACACATCAGGGCAGACGCATGCATTTAGAAAAGCTCTCTTGAGTCTCCTAGGTAAAACAGGGCAAAGTACGCCCAGCTTTGCACATGCATAAATACTGGGCTTATTTTAATGCACAGTAATTTAGATGGACTGCAGCACCTATTGCAGGGAGGCTACATGCTGGGCCCTGGACAGTGCTGATTTGTTGCAGTACAGAGAAGCTAGGAGAACTCTGTATTCCTCCTGGTCTGGTTGTGTCTTTTTAGCTTGTCGAACATAGGAGCCGTGCTGCTCATCTATCTATTTATCCTCTCTGCCAGTGCAGCCATTACGGTAACCTAATCCAACAGCCGGATTCACATAGTTGCCAGATAATGAGGCAGATTGACCAGATGACAGCAGTACCTCTACTTCCTAGGGGCCCTCTTGGAACGCACCGGCTTAGTAATTATTCTTTTTCTCACGCTGATACTTATATGGCTCCCACTACCAGAGGGTCTGAGCACAAACCAGTGTTTAAGGTACTTACTCTCTCTGCACCGTTCTGACACTGGGCACTGGTATTATCCCCATTTTAGAGATGGGGAACTGAGGTACAGGGTCACACAGGAAGCTTGTGACTCAGGTCACCCCAGTTCCAGGCTAGCACATTAACCACCGAACCCTTCTCCCTCTCTCTCGCTCACCCTTCCTCTCTCTCACTATGATTCCTCTGGTGCCATGATCGCTATTGATCAGGAAATGCATCTAGGGTGACCAGATGTCCCGATTGTATAGGGACAGTTCTGATATTTGGGGATTTTTTTATATATGGGCTCCTATTACCCCCCAGCCCCATCCTGATTTTTCACATTTGCTATCTGGTCACCCTAAATGCATCAGAGATCACGGTGAAACAGGACAGTCTCTGCAATGGATGGAACTCGGTGCGATTCACCCTCTCTTTCCTGTCCTCCATCGTAGGTGTGGTTCAGTAACCGAAGAGCCAGGTGGCGCAAGCAAGCAGGAGCCAATCAGCTGGCAGCTTTTAATCACCTGTTGCCAGGGGGCTTTCCGCCAACTGGAATGCCGACTCTACCGCCCTACCAGCTGCCAGATTCCACCTACCCCACCACCACTATTTCCCAAGGTGAGCACCAACTACCAGAGTGCAGTGGTTGGTTATTTCTGGGTCTGTTCTCATCTGTTATGCCACTCCGCCAGCCAGACCGCCCTTCCATTCTGGATTCCCATCACTACCTTCCTTTGAAGCAGCTGCTCTATGCAGGTTGGCCTTGACTGGGAGGCCAACGTTTGATTCAGGCTGATGGAGGCCCAATAGGTTCCATTCTTGATACTAAGCACAGCTGGTCTGCTTAAGGTCCATTGGTCCCTATTCCTGCATCAAGGTCTCCCATGACTATGGCTGCTCCACTTACCATGTCACTGAGAGTGGAGACTAATGAATCCAAAGTGAATTCTATGTGGGACCGGTGACATGCCTTAGCTGAGTGAAACTCTGGCCTCCCAGCCAAGGGCAAACCGACATGTGCAGCTGCTTTGACGGTGAAACCGGGCAGGTGGGAGAAATGTGCAACATTTCCTCTGTATTTTTCCCCTTTTTAAAAAAAAGCTTCAAACTACCATCTAAATTTGAAAAGCCGGGCCCAGCTCTGTCGAGTTCTGCAGCAGCAGCCACGGAAGGTCACACAAGAATAGTATCGGAGCCCGTTTAACAGGGCAACCAAAGCGTTTTGCACTGTAGTGAGTTGGACACCAGCAACCACACACACAAGGCTTTAGACACTGGGCAGCGGCAGGTAACCTCCAACACTGGAGTCCCTTGCAGCAGAGGGGGGGGCAAGTGGGGCAATTTGCCCAAGACCCCCACGAGAGTTTTTCGGGGTCCCTGGAGCGGGGTCCTTCACTTGCTCCGGGGGCCCCAGAAAACTCTCGAGGGGCCCGGGCCCCCAGAGCTTCTTCCGCTCCAGGTTTTCGGCAGCAGTTCAGTGGCGGGGGGTCCTTCCGCCCTGGGACCCGCCGCCAGAGTGCCCTGAAGACCCGCGGCGTGGGGTCCTTCCGCTCCAGGACCCACCGCCGAACTGCCCTGAAGACCCGCGGGAGGGGGGTCCTTCCACCCCGGGACCCGCCACCAAACTGCCCTGAAGACCCGTGGCGGGGGGTCCTTCCGCCCTGGGACCTGCCACCGAAGTGCCGGGTCTTCGGCGGCAATTCGGCGGCAGGGGCCCCCTGCCACCAAAGACCCCAGGCCCCCTGAATCCTCTGGGCGGCCCTGGGCCGGGGGGATGCTGGGGTTTTATTCAAAGGCCG